ATAAATACGTGAAGAAAATGAGCAAAACACAAACAGTAAATTGTCAATAATGCCAAACATGAATGTGTCTATCAGCCTCCAGCTAGTCCTCGTGCAGATAACCTTCTCCAGCAAAGGCTACGGAGTAATGAATGTGCTGACTTCTGCAGAGAGCTTGTAGCGTCTGTCTGCAACACCACAAGCGGGGATTAACTTCTTCCTAATGAAGGGCAGCTCGGTGCTGTTATTGGGACCAATGGATACCAGCGTAAAGACCCTCTGTTCTTCACCCTCACAATTACCGTTAGCATTAGCACTAAAAATCCCTTCAGAATGGGAAATGCAGGCTGATACGGAGTAGATACAAACGGCCAATAGCTGACAGCTATGAAAGTGCCTGTCATAGGTGCACACATAAAAGGAAACACACACACACACACACACACACAGATGATGAATGACTTCTCCCTCTGAGCCGCGTGTTGCATATCTCCACTAATGGCTCATAACGCATCAGAGTGGCAGCATTACACACACACACACACACACACACACACACACACACACACACACACACACACACGGCACACTACCTCTCAGCCACCTGCACTCTGCTTCCCGCAACACACACGCTAATGGTCCAGCATGCATGAAGGGCCGCGCACAGCGCCTGCTGTTCCACTGCGTCGTGATGAGACAGTACCACTCGTTGTCGTGGCGATAACGATGACACCCATACTGGTACCAATACTACCAATACAACAACGTAGGACCTCAATGATTAATGAGCTTGGGAAATTCTGCAACACTAATTTGTTTTCATTTTTTGAACAGTTCTTTGTTTTTTTAGCAAGTTGTTTCTAGAATTCTTGCTTCTTGTGATTTTGGTCAGCAAAATGATTTTACCTCATTGAGCCTTTGACAGCTGTTTTTTTTCTCAAAAGGGTTTGAATGTTATCAGCTCATGTCAAACTAACAAGAGATGTAGATGGATTGGATGAAGTAAAACAATCAAATATTTCCCTAAAAAATGTGAAAAAGAAGTTAAAAAAAGTGGTACAAGATAGAAACACAAAAATAAAGTAGAAGTACATTACAGTTGTACTAAAATGTAATACTGGAGTTAGTTAACTTTAAAGAAGCCCTTTTTGAAGAATGAACCTGCTTTGAAACACTGATGTCACTTTTTTTAGTGTGCTGTGCACAATAATGGAACTTATGCATTAATGATAATCACATTTCCTCACGGTTGCCCTTGGTGACATGGCTGTGACATCCGCTCTGCTTATGTATAAATTATGTCCACAGCGTTACTCATTTACCACATAATGGCCCAAAGTTCTGTACTTTTTCACAAATGTCTCTTCTTCTCTGTACGGCACGTTACATATTCTTGTTAACAGCAAACTTGTGACATTTTTTATAACATTTTCAACTCATAGCAATAACTCCAATGAAGGCTGAAGTGATGTAGTATTGTAAATTAGGGAGTTAATTGACACAGCAGCTTGTTTTATCCACAATCATTTTTAATTTGTTCTACCTTCATATGATTATAATATAAAATTTGGGCTTTTTTTTAAGGCAGTGCACTCATAACATTACAAAACAAACTGCATTCCCCTGAGGCTTTTACTGAAAATGTTTGCTGCACAAAAGCGACAGCCTGCATACATATCATCAGCCTTCATAAGCACCTACATGCATGAGGTGAAGGTGTGCCGTGAGAGCTAACGGGCTTAAGTGGGGCATAGAAGAAGTCTTTAATAAAACTCCTGCTCTCCTAATCACACTGCTCTGTAATAACAATATCAAAAATCAAATGAATGGTGGGAGCCGGCCTGAGTGAGGGCAGGCGGGGCAAGTGAGGGGGGGGGGTATCTTCAGACTGAGGTGAAATGTAATTTGGAGGACAGAGGAGTGGGGGAGGGGGGTGTTGTCAGGGAACTGGAGCAAGCATCAGTCTGCAAGGAAGGAAATGTCGAGCACTGTTAATCTTATTTGAATGGCAGCCTTCTGATGTGGATTTCACTCTAAAAAATAGCGACTGTACACACACACGTGCACACGCAATCGTATACGCGTGCATGCAGCATGGACAATGGTGGCCCTGAGGTTCAAAGCGTGACAAAACACAATGAAAACATAGATTTTAAGAAACACAAAGAATGTACAACTAGTGTACTACATAATAGGATGCTACATTGGCTTCGGTCTTGTACATACAATATAGTTGAGGGTTGCGCATCGTGGCCACTGTAGGAAGCATAAATCATCACCCTCACACACCACTTAACCATCGTGTGCGCTTATTCATTCTTGTTTCCTCAAATGGGAACATCGAGATACAATAAAACGCATTTTTACCTTCCACATGTTACCACACAGGCACAAAGACGAACAACCCCCCCGTTTACCCGTCTACAACTCAATAAACCGCACGACAACATCCCGAGCACAGTTTGTAAGGCAGACTCTGTCAAGAGGCTGATCTCGGGTCCCATTGCCAGAGCTCACCCCATCATTCTTAGAGGCAGTAAAGAAGTAAGGAGGAGCAGCGGGGGATGCGACGGAGAGACGGGAGACTAGCGAGAAGAGGAGGAGGACGAAAGGATGAGTAACTGTGGCACTCGCCTAAGAGTCCGACGGCCACGCGTGGCGGCCTCCAGCACGTCATGGGGGGGGAGTAGAGGAGCAGAATTACAGAGTGAAGGAAGAGCAGAAAGATGGAGGGTCCTTGACACGCTCAGGGGCATTCGGGGGGGCAGCGGCCCTAAGCTGCCTTGAACACAGATTAGCAGAGAGCCACAGGAACAGCGAGTGATGTTAACGCTGCCGAGTTGCTTCTGCGCTCACACGCGGATTTAAAAAACCCTAAAGCTCCACTGTGATGTTAACATATTTAGCCTCATATGCATATAGGACTCATATGCTTTGGCTTTATTAACTCGTGGATTGCGATGCCGAGCTGAGGTTGATGATGCAAAGGTTATAACTCATGGGATTCACCGTAGACGGAGAGTTATTATGCGCCGGGAGCTTTGGAGGAGATGAACCTCAGGAAAAAAACATCGCTGATTGTGCACCATATAATTCCATTTGTTGATTAGCACACGAGTGTAGCGGCGAGAGCGCGCTGCCACATTAGTTTGCGGTTGAACCCACTCGGGACTAGAGACGTTCTGCGACACGGCCGCGCAGCAACGTGAGGGAAAGGCTGATTCAGTGGCTGAGCAGAGGAGCACAGGGAGCACATGACTGTGACGCAGTTGCGACACTAGTTTGTATCACAAAAGGTCTGGAATACAGTAAATTGTCAATCATCAGCTCTGATGCAGAAGCCCACAGCTAAGGAAAAGGAAGCAGAGGAAGCAGAGAGCGAAATCTCTCTCACTGACAAAGTAGTGAACCCCTCTCAGAATGTCTTGGAGCGAGATGACACTTTAACAGGCTGCAGCTCCAGAACCGGATCCCTTATGTGCAGCAGATGAGGCGAGACAATGTTCCCTCATGCCACACCGGTTGGATGACTGAGTGAGCACTGTGCAGGCGCTAATTTCCCGGGCCAGCACCCGGGCACGGTAGACGGGTCCACGTCCTCAGAATCGGCACAAGCTCGTCGGGGGGTCTCGTGTCTTTCTTCTTCCCTCCAAGCAGCTGCTTTTAAAGGCCTTTACTACAGGCTGCGTCCTTGCTCCCTGTGGTGCTCGGTGGACACGGTTGAAGCTCTTTGGGGTTGGAGGTGAGGGCAGGCGGAGGACGTCACTTTGCGAGCCTGACTGAGATTGAACCGGATCCGGAGGGTCAAACGCACCTGAGCTAAATGAGACGTCGGCGGAAGCTCGGGATCCGTTCATTTAACTCGGGAGGAAAGGCAGAGCGCCGGGCGACGCCGTGATGGAGTGCAGCTGGAGGCGAGAGCAAGGAGGGAAACAAAAGGACGCCACGGCTTACATCTCTCTCCGCGCGATTCGTCTGCAGGAGGGAGACTTACAGGCGTATCACGTCGGTCGGGTCATTCAAGGGCTTTCTGCAGGCAGGAAGCACGCAGACATCAAACAGCGGAGGGACGGGGAAGAAAGAGCGGCTGTTGTTATTGGATTCGTGCAGAACAAGCCTGCATGGAAATGCAGAGAGCATGCAAGATTGGAGACAAAACACACATTTAAAGCAGCAATAATAAAAATAGAATTAAATAGATAAACAGCTGAAAACACAGCATTGACGTTTGTAAAGTTAAAAAATGAAGATTGCGGTCGTGACTCTCCTTTTAGAACTATTTTGCTATCCACCAACTCCTGTGGGGAAAATCTGCCGCTTTAAATGCTAAATGCTCCACTATATCCCCCAAAGTGTTGACTTTTGTTTGTCTGCTGACCAGTTACCGTAGATTTATCAAAGCTTTTTTGTCGAAGCGTACGAGAGGAGTAAAAGGAGATAAATGTAACAATGAACGTAAAGACGGTACATCACAGAAAAAGAAGTCCCTTTACAGGAAGTCAGAGTGCAGCTTGAGGAAGATCTGTTGTTACATATCAGTATGTCACCGAGAACCGCAGTGTTACGCTTTGCAGGCAAGACAACATTTCATTCACAACGCTGATTCATCCCCAACTTTTCTTTGCCTCACTGGAACCGTACTTTGAACTGCAGTTTGGCGAGTTTGACACAGTTCAGTAGACAACGCCTAGAGGCAGAATCAGACCAGTCAATGGGGTTACAAAAACAGGCTCTGATCGAACCTCATGAGATTTCTGCCTCTTGCATCTCCGTCTGTGTGTGTGACTGTGTGTGCGTGCGTGTGTATGTTTCGGAGGTATCGCACGCTCGGGTGGAGAAGATGTCTCTTTTACGTGAAAAATGCACACATCAGCGGCCCCAGAAATAACCCACGAGCATGACAAACCAATCCCCAAAAACAAGGCCACGTAATCTCAGACGCCTGCGCCTGTCCCCGTCCAAAAGAAAGGAGGAAAACAATTCGCAGGCAGGAGCGGCCCTTCTGCCTGCTTGATAGTTACCCAGCGGTGAAGACGTGATTGACGTGGCTGCAGGATCAGAGCCTCCCTGGAATCAGCTTGCGCTGGCGGAGGAGGGGAACGGGAGGCCTGGACGTGGAGCAGCAGCTTCCTCAACCTGCAACGCGAAGGACAAGGTCAGAGACTCATTGGACCCAAGGAAATTTGACAAGAAGCTGATAAAAGGGAACACCATTTAACAGCTGTCTTCAAGAGTTTAATCCCTTATTGTTGCTGGGACACGCGCCAACTTCCCCTCTCGGCCCTCCCCTTTTTCCTGCAGACCTGGGCTTCCTGAGGTTCTGCCCGACCGTTGGAGAGAGAGACAGACCAGAGTCTGGTGGCTGGGCTCTAACTCTAAACCCTTGTGACTCCGGCCCGGCTGTTGGGCTGTTTATTATCAGCCGACAGCACACTCGGGGCCTGGAATACAGGGCCGCCGAGACGCTGGGTGCTGGCTGCATGGGGAGGAAACAGGGACTGAGGCGACGCGGGAGGAATGCCAATGAGGCAGATTCCGCTTGGCACATCGTCGCCCGTGCAAAGCCCCTCCACCCAGGCCTCGCGTCTGATGGCGACGTTAACAGCGTTTTTCTCCGATTCCCCCGACATCCCATCCCGACCACGGACCAAAACTAATGACTAACCACATTCATCTGCCGTGATTTCCCTCCGATCGGGCAGAAACGAGGACTCTTAAAGGATAAAGAGGAGGATATTTGGAGAAAGGCTGGAGAAAGAGGTGTGCTGCGTTAACAATGAATCCCTTCATACTTATTCTCTTGCTCTTCATGTCTGTAACGCTCGACAGAATTTGATGGCTGAGCTGTAGCCGCAGTATGTTTGTGCGTTGATTTACATTTTGGTGAATAACAGAATATTTAATCAGTTTAATTCACTGAATATGGTGCCGTTTTTTATGTGAAATACTGCATAATGATGAAAAAGAGCGAAGACGTGAGAGACGGTTTTCATTTTCAAATCAGATGCCAGCACAACAGCTATTTCAATCTGAATAATTGAAATCTTCCTGTTCACTTGAACTTGGAAATGAGTCGTGATAATCTGAGGATATTAATATGATGAAAGGTTCCCATAGATATTCATGCAGTTAAAGCCGGAACACCCAGAGGGAGGAAACAGCAGGGAGCAAAAGAGATAGAGAGTGAGCAAAAGTGTTGAATACAGACATAATTTGTGTCTGTACAAATTAAACAAGACAAGGTGAGGAACTACATCGAGCTGTAATGTAAATTGAAGAAACATTGAAGACACATTTGAATTAAAACGTGAAATGGTCATCATCACAGCCACAATTTTCTAGTTCTTGTGTAGAAAGCGTTGACGCACTGAAGAAAATAAGCCATCACTTTACACAAAACATAACAGAACCTGAATTGAACCCGAAAGATCAGCATTAAGCAACAAGCACAACAATGGCAATAAATGAACACAAATTACTGAATAAAAATACATCCCTGACCTCACTGCTGCTGCTGGAGACAGAAAAGAACACTAATGCTGCATTAAGAGGATGATTATGTGAAAGATTCAAGGCACATATCAAATCTGCAGCCTCCTCTGATTATTTTCAAAGTACAGTATACAGCTGCAATCAAAATTATTCAACCCCCCATTGCACATTAGGTTTATTGGCAAAATATACAATTTATCAGCTGTTTGCAATAAACAAATTACACAATAATTGTTTAAGTAGTTTAATGAAACTAATATTACAAAGGTTTTGTCCAAATTCAACACAAAATGCTACTTTTAATGACTTTAATGAATTTACTGCAGTCTCAAAATTATTCAACCCCTTCATGACCAGCATCTTCAGTACTTAGTAGAGCACCCTTTTGCTGTTATGACCTGCTGCTAACGTGATGCATAGCCAGACACCAGCTTCTGACAGCGTTCTTGAGGAATCTTAGCCCATTCCTCACGGGCAATGGCGATGGGGTTCAAGTCAGGCGACTGTGACGGCCACTCTAGAATCTTCCATTTCTTCTTCTAAAACCAAGCCTTGGTGGACTTTGAGGTATGCTTGGGATCAATGTCCTGTTGGAAGGTCCAATGACGCCCAAGTTTCAGCTTCATCACAGACGGCATGCCGTTTTTTTCCTAAGATTTCCTCATATTTGACTGAATCCATCGTGCCCTCCACACGCTGCAGGTTTCCAGTGCCAGAGGCAGCAAAGCAGCCCCGGAGCATCACTGAGCCACCGGCAAGCTTCACTGTAGGCAGGGTGTTCTTCCTCCTCCAGACATAGCGCTGATCCATAGGCCTGTATAGTTCTAGTTTTGTCTCATCGCTCCACTGAACAGAATTCCAAAACTTCGGTGGCTTATTTATATGGTTTTCAGCATATTGGAGCCAACTTTTCTTGTGCTTTTGGGTCAGTAGTGGTGTGCGTCTTGGAGTCCGGGCATGGAACCCTTCAGTGTTTAGCATGCGCCTTACTGTGCAAACTGAAACCTCAGTGCCTGTTGCCACCAAGACTTAGGCATATTTCTAACATGCAATCAAACGTCACTCTGAACAAACCCGGAGCCAGACCAGGTATTTATGTGTTCTATCTCAAGCACACCTCAACTAATGAAGCCCTTGATTAGTTTGATACAGGGAGTTGAATCATTTCAAAGGGTGCTCTCCGAAGTACTGAAGATGCTTGTCATGAAAGGGTTGAATAATTTTGACACTGCAGTAAATTCATTAAAGTCATTAAAAGTAGCATTTTGTGTTGAATTTGAATAAAACCTTTGTAATATTAGTTTCATTAAACTACTTAAACAATTATTGTGTAATTTGTTTATTGCTAACAGCTGAGAAATTGTATATTTTGCCAATAAACCTAATGTGCAATGGGGGGGTTGAATCATTTTGATTGCAACTGTATGAATTGTTTGTCTGATGTTCGTGATAAAATAAAAAGATCACAAAACCCAACGTGCCCCTGTGAAGTTAATCTGCAATATGAGACTTCCCTCCATTCTTTATTCCATTCCCTTTGTACAAAGCAAGGATTTATAACCTCACTCACAGAATGTGAATAAAGTTAAAGTTGTTTTTTTCTTCTTATCCCTGTGGTTGCTATTAGGTCCATGTTTAGGTCAAGTTTCTAATGACTGAGTCCACTTCATGCAGAGAGACTGTGTGGCCTTTAATCTTTTCATACAGTCACTGCAATTTTACTTCACCGTCCTAAAACAACTGCAATAAATGGATTTCTAGTTCTGTACTGGACAATAAAAATCCAACAAACTCTTCCACATCAATCATTGGGGATTATTTTATTCGGTTTGAGGTTTTCTTAGCTCGCCCAAGACTCATGAAGGTTGAAATTAAAAGAAAATATTTGGAGTTTGATCATGGTGCAAACGGGGGAAATTCTCCGATGTTGCGCTCCACTAACAAAGTGTATATTTATGAATCTCTGAATGTGAAATAAAGAAACCCTTTATGAGGAAAAATAAATCAAGTTGAACAGAAGCAAGACCTCAGCTCCCAATAAAGATGACGATACATTAAATAAAGCTATTTTTCACCTTTTCCATCCAGCTGTACGAAGTCCGTCACTTCGTGTCCATCATAAAATACGAGTGAGTTAGAATATGGTGTCGTTATAGTTCTGTGTCAGTATTTATTCATGAATGTGAATCATTTCTATATATTTAGATAATTCCTGTTGTTTTTAATGTTGGATCCCATTTGTGATATAGTATTTGCTTAATCTACACATCTTTATATGATATTCCAAATAAGCTCCACCTTTACCAACTGCAAAAATAAAACGATTTTGATGCAGTGATATAATTCAGAAATAAAAACGCTTTGCATAATTCCAATTTGTACTTTTAGTAAATTAACTATATTTTTATACCAAGACTTTTGTACTTAAACTCCACTAATAATTCAAATGATTGACTTGTAACTCCTGAGTATCTTAAATGTGACATTTCTACTGTTGCTGAAGTAAAATACCTGAATACTTGCTTCATGTGTGTCTGTGTTTATTCTCTCTATAATGTCCATGAACTATGAGGCTTTTCTGCTATTTTTGGGCGGATGTTTAAATTCATCGTACTGTAATTTCCTTCATAGAAGTGCTGAAATTGCTTTGCCTCTTCTAGTGGGAATGAACCACTTAATTAAAAAACCTGGCGATGGGCTCGAAAAGTTCAAGAGCCCAGAAACGGCCCTCAAGAATCTGCTGATTAAGTCCTGAGCCCTCACGGACTGGAATAACGTTAGTCAGCCCTCCGTAATCAGCCCAAAATACCACCGCCCATCGGGATGCCTCCCGATAAGGAGTCTGCTACTGGGCTTCTCATCAATGATTGACAGGTTATTGGGAAATAAAAAAACTCCCCTGACAATACGTACTTAACCACACTAAGTAAAACGGGATTTACATGATTACATGTATTACACAAGATTTTACTGAATTTAAAAAGCATAATAAAAGCAGAGTTATAAATACATCAGCTAAACAAACAAAGCTGAACAGAGATCTTGAATGCTGCTCTGTAACTCTCACACACGTGATGTATTCCTGAGAACTAACATTCCCTCTCTGGTATTTTAAGAGCTGGAAAGGTTGACAAAAGAGCGGAATTTAAAGTAGGAAGATGCTCCGAATAATTTTTTTTGTGAAATAAAAGAGAAAAATAAACACAACGAGAGAGTTTAACACAAATATTAATCACACTAGATATTTGATAGGGCCCTGAATTAAAATAACTCATATGCAGAGATTCATTGTGACTAAATATTTTTATCCAAACTGCATTGTGCACCACAGCTCCACGTCGTCCCAATGTTCAAAAAAGAGGCCAAAACATCAGAAATCTTGAGATTTTTGACAGCCCTGAGAGCCAGAGCTGCTTCGTCAGCAGCACCGCTGCAGCTGCTCGCCTAGAAAGGCACAACAACTGACCCCTTTCCATCAAAATGCTTTTAGAATCAGATTTTGACATTTATTAATACCATCTGTACGTTTCCTGAGCCTCCGGCTCTGCAACTACTTGACGCAGAGCAGTTTGTCAATCACCACGTCTCAGCCCCTTTTTTATAGCGTCAAATAACTATTTAAAATCAAATACATCAGATGAATG